CCCGGAGGTGAGAAGAGAAAGGTTTTCGGCACAATTTATATATACAATTCAGATAATATCAAAGCGGTAAAGCATTTAGCACATATAGCATGGAACATGTAGAAAAATCAGATAAAGCCAAAAATAACAATTATACTAAGCTCGAATTCTTGAACCCTGAATCAAAATTCTGGGTTCGGTCCCCAGCAGAGTCGCCAGAGCTGTCACACCTCCTTTTTTTACGCACCTACCCCCGAAGGATAGTGTATAAGGGAGTTTTTCCATTTAAAGTGACATTATTCGAAATGGGATTACTTATTTATTTTTCAGAGTCGCCACTCGGGAAAGGACAGGTTTTTGGTGTCCCGAGTCACCGATTTAGTTTAAATCCCAAATCGAGGAAAATTTCGACTCCCAATTGGAGTCTGCGAATCAGAGATTCTGTGTAAGGAATTATGTTGACCCGAGGGAAAGTGTTAGGCACCCCCGGGTCCCGTGGTTCTAGCACGGTCGCTTAAATTATTATAATTGGCTAAAAATCTGATTTTTAATACATGTTTTAACTTATGCGCATTTTAAATTAAAAACCGCTTTTATTTATATTTCTTATAGACTTGCACATCGTAAAAATGTATCTCAAACCACGTCGCACCAGTACGCCCGTGATTTTTGGCACATTTCAACCTTGTTGAGATTTGGATTTGGGTCACATAAATGTGCACCCGTAGTTAGGAAGGTAAGATTTATTAAATACCGTGCATTAAAGTAGTTTTGTATTTTGCAATTTGCGAGGCCATGAAATTCGCTAAATGGCACGCTCGATTTCTAAGGATAGACAAGATTAATTAAACGAGGGCCATTCAATTGTCACTTTTGTTTGGCATGACGCGCCTTAATTCCAAAATAACAAGGTGGCCAAATTAAGCTTCCGAGATTTTAATTAATAAAACTATTGACCAAATTATTTAGCAGACACTCGCGATCCACACTTCAAGTAATCAGGTGATACAAGGGCAGTGACGAAGCACTGGGCCAATTATTAAAGGTCCAGGGTATGAATTCAGCCCAAACGTGACCCAGGGAAACGGGCCTCAGATTTGTACTTTTGAACGGGACTGCATCTTGACCCTTGAAGGGCCCAAACTTGTTTTAATTTTAGAAAATAGTTTCCACATGCTTACGGCCCACACAAAAGTCATCTCAATTTGCACAAAAAGCATGACCAGGGATTCTGTAAACAAATTTGCACAAACGCTATCAATTTTATTCAAATATTCAATTTTGATTTTTTTTTTTAATCAAATTGATATCAAAATCAAACTATGTGTCAATTATATAGCGTTTGATTTTGATAATTTACAGAATAGCGTTTGAACATAGTTTGATTTTGCAAATTGATTCACTAGATTAAAATGAACTTATAAAGATATAAAATTAAAATAGAACTACCATTAAAGTCCATGATCTGTTTGTCCAAAGAAAGGGTATACAACTCCTATTCGTGTACTCTCTAATTATACCATTTAATCATAAAAAAAAAAAGTTTAAACACAAAATATAGAACCAAATCCATAGCATGCTAAGCCAACTATCTAATGCCTAATATTGGAGGCTCACATATAACGTAATACAAAAGAGGAAACAGAAACAGAGGTTGAATCGAAATGCAATTTGTATTCCTCATAGTCACTGGGTTACATGATTAGCACTAGTCATGGTTCATTGGGCTAGGAAAGATACCTGGAAATAGAATAGAAAGAGGTGAGTTTCAGCAGTAGACAGCAACTAGAACCCAGATTCAACACACCAGAACAGAGAATTTAGCCCACAATCCCACAAATTGCAATACTCAAATAGCTTGAACCAAAAATATCTCGGAAGACCCAATAAACAGTAACTCGAACAGCAAAACTCCAAACCAGCTTGGAACCAAATTCAATTCTTCAGATTCTTAAGCTCTCTCCTTTTTTAACTGTTTTAGATTTTCTCCTTTCTACTGTTTCCAGATTTTCTCTTCCCTTTTTAATCAATACTAATGGTCTATATATACACTCTTTATGGCAGATTTTTTCCTAGCTATTTAATCCCTTTTTCTACCCTCTTTTTTGGGCTTGTTTTACCCTTTTTACCCCTCTAAAATATCTAAAATCTGTTCACCCGTAACAGAAAAATATTCTCTTATTTCAATAGTACCTTCTTTCCTATAAGATTTGATGCCATAATTTTTTAATCTAACGGAAAAACTACCTGTATTCCTCAGAACCTACACCAATTGATAAAAATTCACAAAATATTACCATGCCAATTTATACTACCCTTTTACCAGTTCTAAAATTACCAAGCTAGACTAAAACTATCAGCTATAACCAATCAATAAGCCTACAAGAACATTAAATTAATTATATAAAGAAAATACTAATTTAATTAAACAATACCTAAAAAAAACAGAATAGTCACAAAAAAAATAAGAATAGGAAAAAGGAAAAGGGAAAACTCACTGTTTTTTGGTATCTAGAGGCGGCCAACCTTGATTCGATCCCCGGACACGCAAATCTTTTTTTAATATACCTAACCATGTGTCTTCACAAGAAGACACCTGGTTAAGGATATTAGGGTCGAGAATCTCAAAGATTTTGAACTAGGGTTTCGTTGGTTTTAGATTTAAAATTCAAGTATTTTGGTTAAGTTTTGAAGGTTGTTGTTTGGAGATTTGGAATGAGGAGGGTGAGGGGAGTGTATGGTGTTAATTTGGTTGAGTTTGGAGAAGGTAGGGTTTTGGCCGGATTTTAGATTTGAAATCCGAGCATTTTGGTTGTGATTTGAGGGAAATTAGGTTGGGGGTTGGAAAGAGGAGGATGAGAGGATTCCATGGTGTATTTTTGGGTTATTTGGAGCACCGCCGCCGGCGGAGGCGATTTCCGGCCGGCGGCGGGCGGCGGCGGAAGGCGGGAGGGGGCGGAGATGCGGTGGGGCTGTGGAGGTGGGGATTTCCGGTGGGGAAGGGAGTGGGGTGTGAGAGAGATGAGTGAATGGGGGGTGGGGTATGGTTAGGACATATATATATTAATTGATGGTTGAGTTCCGGATCGTTGGATCAAAATAGATCAAAGGTTGAGATTAACACCAACTAAACTACGTCGTTTTGGGGTTGGGGGGTGCTGGACCGGATCAGGGATGTTTGGGCTGGGTCTTGGCCGAATTTTGGGTCCTCTTTTGGGCTAGAATTGTAGTTTGGCCCAAATTTTGGGTCCTTTAACAAGACCAACTTTATTAATTCTTTTTCTTTCTTTTTCTCTTTTTGTATTTATATATATTTTTTTATTTATTGCTTATGCTAAAACAAGGACATAATTAGACTATGTATTCCCTAAAATATTCAAAACTCTATTTTTGCAATTTTCTTTTTATTTTAAAACTAAATTAATACCTAATTAATACTAGAATTGTGAAATTAAATGCCTAAATGCAAAAAATGCAACATATTTTGTATTTTTTTATGAATTAAAATGCTACACATTTTTTTGTATTTTTATGAATTAAAAATGCAACATATTTTTTAATATTTTTTTTTTATGAATAAAAATGCGCAGACAAAAAATGCAAACAAGACACCAAAATTATGCAATTAATTCCTAGAAATCAAATAATTAAAGGGAAAATCCTAATTTTAATGGATTTGTAGGAGTAAATTAAACATGGCAAAAATCACATGCTCACAGCAGTACATGGTACAGCTGATTCAATCCACAGTGCAATATGTTGGCTATCTCATTAAGACCCGTAAAGGCACATTCAGAACTTCTTGGAAATTACAGACACTTACAATTATCCAAACGTTTCCAAGCAATGTGTCAGACTGACACTGTTTCCCTTTTTCACTGATGGGGGAAGCTAAGCAATGGTTAGAAAAGGAGCCCGCGAACTCAATCCACAATTGGGATGATCTAGCAAGGAAATTCTTAATCAAGTTTTTTCCCACGAAGCAGACAAAGTCGCTGAGGAGCCAGATTCATGGGTTTCAACAACGAGATGGTGAGACTCTTAGACAAGCTTGGGAAAGATACAAGAAGCTACTCAGAGATTGCCTACACCATTGTCAGACTAATGAGGTGTTGGGTCACACTTTCGTTGATGGGTTGGACGAGGCATCAAAGATGAATCTTGACTCAGAATGTGGGGGTAGTAGTATGGCCAGACCGTATAGTGAGATCCAGATCCTGCTAAACAATTTTACTGCTAATGATAATAATTAGCAAGGAGATGGGGAACCACGAAGAGCACTTAAACAAAAGGCAGCAGGTGTGATCGAGCTTGATGACTTCTCAGCAATGAGGGCAGAAATAGCGAGATTAGCAAATCTGATGAATATAATGATAATGCACCACGCACAACAGATGCAACATGTGCAACAGATGTCTACTTGCTGCGAGTTATGTGGTGAAGGTCACACAAGTGACATATGTCCCGTGAATCCTGAATCAATCTACTACGTGGGGCAACAAGCTAGAAGGACAATGAATCAACATGCTCAATAGGAATCATCCTAACTTCTCTTGGGGTGGAAATCAGAATATCAGGACTGAGGCGAATTACAATCATCCACCTCAACCCCCATAGGAAGTAGAGGAGAGTTTGACTGAGAGGATGAAAAAGCTCTTGATAGACAATCAGAAAGTTATGGCTGAGAATCAACAATTACGCACAGAATTCAGAAATCAAGAGAGGCAGTTTGGGCAAATGGCTAACAATCAGAATATTAGCCCTGCTGGAGCTCTTCCAAGTGATACAGAAGAAAATCCTCAAGTCAATGCAGTGACGTTGAGAAATGGGAGAGAGTTGGTAAAAGTGCCAAAGAAGAAAAAAGAGCAATCTGGGCTCGAAGAAGAAAGAGTGCCAAAACCTATAGAGGTAGATGAGAGAAACTAAACAGAGCCTGAGCAAAAATCAGAGAGGGTGCCACCCCTTTTCCTCAAAGATTGAGAAAGAAGAATGATGACCACATGTTTCACAAATTCCTAGATATGGTGAAGCTAATACATTTGAACATCCCTTTGGTGGATATGCTCGGTGAGGTCCCAAAATATGCAAAATATATTAAGGACATAGTGGCAAAGAAAAGGAGGTCAACTGAGTTTGAGACTGTAGCACTTACTGAGGAGTGTACTTCTAGGATTCAATATGCTTCCACAAAAGCTTAAGGATCCGGGTAGTTTTACCATCCCCGTGAATGGTGAATTTGATATGGTTAGAGCCCTGTGTGATTTAGGTGCAAGTATCAATCTGATGCCATTATCAGTGTTCAAACAATTGGGCTTAGGAGCTCCAAGACCCACCACAGTGATGCTACAGTTAGCTGATAGATCCTATGTTTATCCTGAAGGGGTAATTGAGGACGTCTTGTTGCAGATTGGGAAGTTTATTTTTCATAGAGATTTTATCATCCTAGATTACGTGGCTGATGAGTTGGTCCCTATCATCTTGGGACGACCTCTTATAGCCACTGCAGATGCAATTATCAAAGTCCGAGAAGGTAAGATGATCCTGAGCGTGGACAATGAAGAAGCAGTCTTCAATGTATATCGAGCCATTCAGTTGCCTCGTCATTACGAGGACCTGGACATGATTTCGATTGTGGAGATAAATGAACTAGCCATAGATCCAAGGGCGTTTAAAGAAAATGCACTAGAAAAGGCATTGACGTTGTTCAATCACTTAGAACTTGAAGAAGAGGTTGAGGAGATGTTGCACATTCTGGATGCATCATGCGAATACATAAGAGAAAGAACCCAATTTGAGCCTTTGGATAGGCCAATCGGCCAGCCTCCTAAACCCTCAGTTGAGGAGGCCCCAAAATTGAAACTTAAACCCTTACTATCTCATCTTCATTATGCATATTTGGGAAATTCTAACACTTTACCTGTGGTTGTTTCTTCTCATTTGTCTGAATTGCAGGAAGAAAAGCTCTTATGGGAGCTGATTGTCGATGCCCCCTTTTTCTAAAGGCGAAATCGGGTTTACGACATTTGGGCGGACAACTCTGTTCCTTTTGGGAATTTGGGTTTTGAGATTTAGAAGAGTCGCCACCTAATGATTAAGTGCATTAGGACACTAAGAAAGAAATGAAGAGAAGAAGAACCAGAGAATGGGTAAGGGCTTGAAATTATCTCGGGAGGAAGGTGTTAGGCACCCCCCAAGATCCACTAGTGTGGTTCCCGGCCATGCTACAACTTGTGACTTTAAGTATGAACAACAAATAAACATACGAGACAATTCTCATATAATGGTTGCAAGTAGGGGAAGTATAAAAGTTAAATAAACGAGCTGAAATTTGGGATTAGGCAATTTCATAATTTACTTAAAGAATATACGAGTGCAGAAGAATGGGAGTCAAATAATTGATATAAATAATCAGACAAAGGGATGAAATGGGGCGATAATTTGGGAGAGAAAAAAAAAGTACTTGGACATTTAAAGAGATTTTTTTTAAAATGATTAAAGCAAAAGGCAGGGTTTAAAAGAACCGAAAACTGCAATGTAAAAATTCTGAAAGAGAGAAGTAAACACATAAAGAGGGAGGGGGTCCTAGGCTTATAAATAACATGGATCACCCACGCAACACCCGGTAACCAATTATACACGTGATGTTATCGCGTGATCATCATATCCATGTCTACCCTTTCCCACCCCGTTAAGGTACTAAAGCGCGGAATGGTCTCGTTACTTATTGCATGCTACTACCCGCCCCAATCCTATCAGTCCCGGAGGCAGTTAGGACTACTAATCCTAGAGAGAAGGGATATTGGCTTTTGAAGTTTAAAAAGGACAAAATCTAGTGCGACAAACAAAAACACATAAGAGCAGTTAAAGAGGGGAAAACACATAGCAGTTAAGGCTCAAATAGGCCTCCTCATTTCAAAGCAGAAATTGTTTAGCATGACTTACAAGTACTGGTTAGGTCTTCAATTAAACTTACGTGAAGGGGGTGGCTGATTTATCACATATTTTCAGATAAGATGTCCGAATTAGGCCTGCCTGCTGGTTGTAATTATTAAAGACTGGTATAACTAATTGATTACCTAATGGTTTGCCTAGGTGAAACCTATAGGCATGATATCTAACAAGGTCAAACATACTAATTTTAAAGAAGATTACTGACTTTAGAAATAAACCAATTCTGCGGATGTTAACAATATTATTACTGATTTTAGACTTTGCGGGTGAATCATATTTAAAAGATTGCTCCTATAGGCATGAATTCTAAGCGTTATTGATTTTTAAACGGTTACGTAGGTGCAGGAATCCTATGAGCATGGTATCTAAGATGCAATTGATTATTTTTTAACCTATGGATTGTTTTCCTAATGACATGTGTATGTGCAGAAGTGCAGGAAACTTATAATCATGATTTCTATATGCAGAAGTACAGAGACTTATAGACATGATTTCTAATGAAATGCATAACTTATAGACAGGATTTGTAACGCAGTAATGAAACAACTTATAGGCAGGGTTTCTGATGCAGTAATGAAACAACTTATAGGCAGTATTTCTATATGTAGATGCATAAACTTATAGGCAGGATTTCTATATGTGGATGCATAAACTTATAGGCAGGATTTCTATATGTGGATGCATAAGCAAAAAAAGGCTGTGATTGCAGAAATAAATACCTAAAGCATGATGTCTACCCACATGCATAACATGAGTGACCCTCCCCTTTTCACTATACACCCCCAGTAGTTATTACAAATTATTACAACCCGAATGAATCAAAAAAAAAATTATATCAGAAATTAAAGTTCCAACCAAGGAGAGCCTAATTCAGACTCCTAGTCTGAAACATGAGATAAACCAACTTCCAAAGATCAGATTTCCAAAGCCTTTCTCATCCTTTGGGTGTGTCAAAGTTCCAAGGAGCTTCATGAACTCCAGGCAGTGCTCACACCCAATTACATTTGCAGGATCAGATTGTAGTGTAGTGTGGAAGGGCCAGCCCTCAAATGTCCAAGTTCAGGGGGACAGAACTTAGAGTCTAAGAATAAGTGTAAGTGCAATAGAGGGGGAATTAGGGAAAGCCATGACAAACTAGTGGTCATGCCCAACAATTAGGATGCTGGCACACCCCTGACCAGCCTGTCAGTTTGAGTTTGGGAGTTAGGACCTATTGAAGGTCAGGTTCAGACCTGGGCAGCAATTTGGATGCGGCCAAGCCATGAACTTTAACTCAACACACATAGGGGAATGGGGGTATGGGGATTTTATAGCAAGCAGTAAACATAAAAGAAAGAACATGCTTAATACAGAGTATAAACAACAAAGTAAACCAGAACATGGAAATTGTAAAGTAAACACATGGGGAAGAAGCTGAAATTAAATTGGGACATACCAGTTTTAGGAAAAACAAATAAGTAAAACAGCAGTCTTGAAAAGCCAAGTTGCAAGCAAAGCAGTACAAAAGTCTCAAAAGAGAGTAGAGAATTGAAAGAGTATTGTGATTGAGAATATGCGTGTGAGAGTATGAGTATTGAACTTAGGATTCAAGAGTTCAAAAGTTCAAAAGTTGTTTTAGTGATGAAGGGTCGAGCCCCTTTTATAGTGCAACAAACAAGTAAGAACAAGGTAAGGAAATAACATTGAAATCAATCTCCCTTTAATTAAGGGATTCTGATTTCAAACGGGTAAAAATAATTAAGGAAAGGGATTTGAAAGAATATTTTCCAGGCAGTACAATAAAGGGTAAATACATGGAAGTTATTTAAGGCAAAAGTCCAATGGTACACGGTTTGTGTAAAATAAGGAAAGGGAATCAATCAAACAGCCAGTAAAATCAAAGCGGCAGGCTTTTGTTCGAGTGAACCAAGTCGAGAAAAGGTAAAGATGGTTCAATTAGAGAAAATCAGTAACAATCAGTCAAACCCCATTAAAGGAATTGAGAATCAATTAGTAGTTAGCAAAACCTTTTTTGAAAGAAGAACTTCTCATATATAAAGCAGACAAATCAAACAAAGGGGTCGTCATGTTACTGAGAAAAGAGTCTAATATTGAAAGGTTCAGAATCATAAGCAAAGGGAAAACAAGTTCAGTTTGTAGACTCATAGTGAGTCTGAGAGTCCGGGGTTCCAATGCAGAACCCTAGTCCAAACACCAAATCAAACTTGCCAAAGAAAACCCCAAATCCTAGGCTTTCTAACCAAATCAGACATAGAGATGAGAAGGCAAGCCATTGAAATAGACTCAAAGGTCTGTTTCAGAGCCTCATGAGAAACAAAACAAATAGGATAGCAGGTTTGAAACAACAAAGAAAGAAAGCTGATTTAAGAGCATAAAAGAGCATGTTTTAGAAAAGTCGGAACTTAAGCAAGTTCAGAGGAAAAGAGAGGTGGTGTAAACTTAAGCCACAGTAGATGAAACATGCTTAGCAAGAACACAAACAGAGTCTAGTAAAGCAAACAAAATCAAAGAACTCAACAGTAAACACATATAGTAGAAGAGTAACATAACAAGGATTAGCATGTGAGCACAGGAGTAACATGTATAGTAGGAAAAGAAGAAGCAGAAGAATAACACATGCGTAGTAACAGAAAATATACGAGCATAATATAGACAAACACACATAAAGGAAAGAACAACAAGAATCATAAAGATATTTTTTTTGAAAACCTTTCAGAAACCCTAAATCGAAAAATAACAATTTTGAAAAGAAAATTTGGGGAAAACAATTTAGAGGTCCAGTAGAACACAAACATACCATAGATCTAAGAAAATAAATAGAGAAAAACCTCGAACAACTTAGGGTTTCGGAGAAACCCTAGAAATGAGAAAGGCTTGGAAAAGTTAGATCTTGGGTCGAAGAGGTCAGGAATCAGGCTTCTCGTGCTTGAATATGCCGGAGCATGGCCGGAGAAGCCATGGAACCAAAGATCTGAGAAGATCTGAGAGAGAACCATCGAAGTCAAACTTCAAAACCTCGAACTCCCAAGGTCTAATGGCGGAGAGGGGTGAGTATAGACCATCCATGGCCTGAGAAGCCATGCATTCCGGTGAAAGTATGGTGGAAAAGGGTCGAAGACAGGCTAGGGTTCCGAAGAAACTTCGAGAGAGTTTTGAGAGTGGAGAGTATTCAAGGGCAGTGGACTAAACAAAATGGGGGAATAGGGTATGGTTTGGGGAATTAAAAATGGAAAGGGGAGATCGTGACCGTTGATCAGATTGATCAACGGTCTGGATTAAAGGAGGCTTGGGTCGGGTAGTTAAATGGGTTAAGGATACGGAATTGGGCTAGCCCGGTTGGGATTCAAACTGGGTCAATTAGGGGGGGTCAATTTGGCTATAATCGAAATGCAAATGGGCTGCAATTGAAACGAAATGAGGCCAAATTTTAAATAGCCAATTGACCCCTTTTATTTTATAAAAATAGTAAAAAATGATTTTAAAAGCAAATTAAAAGTACTGAACCAATTAATAATATATAAATATTAATTAAAAAATATTGAAACCAATTTTACAATTATAGAAATGCTATTAATCTTAAAATAAGCTAAAATTGTAATTGTATGCAATTTAGCTTTAAAAATACCAGATAAATTTGTAAAAGTATACAAAAATCACCTTAACTATATTTTGGTATAAATATGAGAATAAAATAAATTATTCACCAAAATTTGATAGTTTTGGGAAATATTACTGACTTTTGTACTACTAAAATGGCTAATAAATTAATTTTAAAATCTTCTAAAAAATTAGGAAAAAATACCAAAACACTTAGGCATGCTTAAATAGCATGTACATGTTATTTTGAAAGCATTTTGTGTATAAAATACATAGGAAAAAATTGGGTATCAACACTGATGGAGCACAAGCATGCCATTGGTTGGACGATGTCTGACATAAAAGATATTAGCTCTGCATTCTGCATGCACAAAATACTCATGGAGGAGGGACAGAAGCCTAGCGTGGAGCATCATCGCCGCCTCAACCCAATCATGAAAGAGGTGGTATGA